TTAAATGAGATCATGAAGGTGGATTCCCACGGTGGATCAGTGCCCTCGTAAAAAGGAGAGGAAGCTGGGCACGGGTGGCTCACACCCGTAATCCTAGCTACTCGGGAGGCTGAGATCTGAGGATCATGGTTTGAAGTCCAGCCTGGGCAGGAAAAATCCATGAGACTCTTACCTTCAATTAACCACCAGAAAACTATAAGTGGTGTTGCTGGCTCAAAGTGGTAGAGAGCTAGCCGTGAGCGAAAAAGCTCAGGACAGAAGAGGAGAGACCAGAGAACATACACATAGCACATGGAAGAAAGCCAGGAAAAGAGCCCTTACCAGATACTAGGTTCACCAGCACCTCCATCTTGGACTCTCCAGCCTCAAAACCATGTTTAAGCCACTCAGCCCCTGGAACTTGGCTCCTGGAGCAGAGCTAAGAGGCCTCACCACTCATTCCCATTTCCGAAGTTTCACACACAGAGACTCAGTCCCTCTCTTGTTGCTTGTTTTTTGTTCCGACCTTAAACAGAAAAACCTAAAGCCTAGAGGCTCAAGTCATGCCTTCAAATCTCTAGGGAACATGTTGGACTTTTCCATAGATGGCACTGGCTAAAAGTGAATCAAAAGATTTTAGCTTCCTTACATCAAAGGAAAGGAGGAAAGCAAAGAATGGAAGGCAAAAAAGGGAGGGGAGAGGAAGGAAGGGGAGAGGAAGGGAGGGGAAAGAAGGGGGAGAGAAGCCAGGAGGGGAGAAGAGGGGAAGGAAGATGCAGAGGAGGGATGGAGGGAGAGAGGGAGAAAGGGAGAAAGCAAAGAAGGGAGAGAGGAAGGAAAGGAGAAGGGACAAAGCGAAAATGAGAAAGCAAGTGGAAGGAAGGAAGGAAGGAAGGAAGGAAGGAAGGAAGGAAGGAAGGAAGGAAGGAAGGAAGGAGAGAGAAAGAACATGGTTAGGCACACCTACAATCCCAGCACTTGGGATGAAGTGAAGCAGGAAGACTGCATGTTTGAGACCAGCATGGACCACAGAGCAAAACCCTGTCTCAAAAAAGATATAAATAAATAAAAATAAATGATTGCTTTCCAGAAAATTGCTATATTAAATCAAGTATTAGCTTTTTGGGACATTAACATTTTTCCCCCAGTGTTGGGAGTCGAACTCAGAGCCTTGTATGTTACATGCCAACAAGTACTCTACCACTGAGCTCTGTCAACATTCCGACAGTTACTGCACACCTACCCAGTGTGAGCTAGGGTTCTAGCCTGGGCTTCTTGGCCTTTGCACACATGCAAATCCCCCAGAGACCTCGCTAGGGTGAAGACGCTGATCCTGTAGGTGATTCTGATCCTGGGCGTGAGCCCTCAGGCCCAGGAGACTCCCAGCCCATGGCCCTCACAGAGATCAGGACTCTTCTTTTGCCTTCTGAGGGTCAACTCTGGCTTCTTATGGAATTCACTACCTATGAGCCTCTGAAACATAGCGACTCCAGGCTGACATTGTCCAAAAAGAAATGTTTTCTTCACCTGACTTACATAATCATGACCCCTTTGTCCCCTCCTCCCATATAAGAGCAATAAAAAAATTAAATTAAAAAACTGTACGGACTCCAGGACCTGCCTTGCAACAATTAGGTCTCAGATTCTGGAAGTTGGGGCTTGGGCATTTTGCAATAGATCTAGAAACTGCTAGAGGAATATATATGTATGGCCAGGGCTAAGAGCCACTCTTCTAAGCATAGAGTGGGAACCCCTGGAGGACAAGGGTGAATGAGTTGTTTTAGATGGTGCTAGTTGTTGGGGGGGGGAGGGGGGGGTGGTAAGAGATGGAAGGGTGATAGGCCAGGGCTGGCGAGCTGGACAGACAGCACATGAAATGATAAGGTCAAAACATCACCTTTGTGATCTGGGGAAAGGACCCAGACAGCAAAGAAACTGTTTCCTACGGGACTCTTCAAGAGAATCTAGAGTAAGGTACCATTCACTTTTTGAGCAAATAAAGTTACCCCTTTCACAGTCTCCACAAGGCCTAGGAAATGAGGGCAGCCCCTCCCCTCCTCCCCAGGCTCTCGGGAAAGTGTGTGCTAACGTTTGCTGCATTGCACATGGACGCCTAGACAGTTGAGCATTCTCGGAGTCTCATCTCCCATTCCCCGAAAAGACCTCTCCCAGGACAGCAACACAAGGGGCCCACAGCTAGGGGTAGAAACCTTGAGAGAACGCAAGAGCCATGAGATCGCTGAGGGGACGCCACCCTCTGTTCTACCCTGAAGGCCTGACTTGGAGCCCTGGCCCCGTTTTATCACAGCAGCAGCTCAGGAGAGAAACTTCTAGTGAGAAGTTATACAGAGAGGAGAACTTTCTCCTCAGCTGCCCAACCCCACCAACTCTCACTGGGAATGGTAGAGCTTCAGTCTCTTACTCCAGAGGCCTAAGTCTAAGCCAGCCCAGGACTTGGCCTTCCCCTGGCAATAGGAATTGGCTCAAGGTGGTCATATGGCCAAGCTGGCTCAGCCCAACAGAACCTTCTTTAGGGCTTGTGCAGAAGTGCGTCAGTTTCGGCACCTCTGGACCAGGAGAATGTAAGGCTGGACCTTTGGTAACTAGTTCCCAAAGCTAAGACACAAAGGGGTCAAAGACAGAGCGAAACGGAGTCACGGATACCTTGTAACCTTTGGTCCTACATTTCTACTAGCTAAGCCAATGATTTTCCTCTCCAGCTCAATGCAATGTGGGGTGGTTGCTGCCTCTTTCTCACAGAACTCTGTGCTGGAAGCGCTTCCGCAGAGCTGTAGACTGGGTACCTCCGCCATCTTTCATTGCCTGCCCTCCTTGCTTTCAAGCTACCTCGATGGCAGGGTCTGCACCTCACCCCTGCTCATCCTCCCCCATCACTGCCTGCAGTAGAGGAGGACACACCTTCCTGACATGGAAAGAGACTCAGGGGCTAGAGAAGTGGACGCATTTGGAGCCATACAAGCCAGGGATGCTCTTGGCTGGCTAAGAAGTTTTGAGGAGCTACTAAACTTCTGAACACCATGGTCCTTTCTTTGCAAGTAACACTGTAAGGACCGAAGCACATAGCACATCACACTGTCCTTTCATTCCTTCATTTGGAGTAATATTTACAGAGAGCTTTCTATGTGCCAGGAGCAATTCTGAAAATGGTCAACATGAAGCCTAACACAAACGTTAACACAAATGTGAATGATTCCTAGAGATAATACCCATTTCCCTCCAGTCTCCTCTCCCTAGGCGGGCAAGGTCAGACCCTCCTTCTACAAGGATAGGCAGCTTTTATTTAAAAAGGTAAATATTATTAAGTCTATTTGAAATATGAAAGGAAAATCATGAAAGAACATAGGAAAGCTCTCCATCTCGAGCAGAGTCCCAGATGACCTCCAAGTCCATAAAAACTCAGTACACTGAAGATAAAGAGATCCCAATGGTGCCTGGGGGAGCTGTGGCATTCAAAATTAGGTCCTAACCCAGTCAAGATGCCCAGAATATATGTGAGTGACAGAATCAACAGCCAGCCTAAGAGGAGGGCATAGGTGAACCAGAATCTAGCCCAAAGTTCCCTCACCCCATTCTGTCTCCAGAGCCTTCCACGTGTGTTCCCCATGTGGATGGTACCGATTTTAGTTTCAGGTCCCTGGAGTGGCAGGATGGACCCCAACATAAGTGATCCCAGGCTTTACACATGTTTGCCATTGCAAACATCCCTTATCTTGAGTCAGGGTAGCCTGCCCATCCACCTCCGTGGAGAGCCAAGATCAGAGCCCAGCTGTGACTGCATGGGTGCCATCCCCCACGGGTCAGCAGGATGAATGGGATCACTCCAGTGTGGACAGGCTCACACGGACAGCCTCGCTGTGCAAGTGTTTATCTCCATCCATGTTCCCAGCCTGCTTCTCAGAGACTTCTGAGAGAATACAGAAATCAGCACAGCACCTTAGCGGGAAGCCTCAGCCTTCATAAACACATGGAAGGGTCTCTGGGTTCCAAACTCAACTTCGACACTTAGCTTTGTGACTTTGAGCAATTTGTGTCTCCTTCCTAGATCTTTCCTAGGACTTTACCTCACCTAAGAGAACATAAAATGACATAAAACAGAATACAAAATGACAACGTGTGCCCTTTCCTCTTATATACACAGAGCCTTACTGGGTTTTCCCAGCAACCCCAGAATAGGCAAATGTTATTTTACCCATCTCAGGTAAGACAACAGAGACTCGGAAAAGATGACATGGTTTGCCCAGCAAGTTGGTGGAAAACCTGATCACAATCGCCTCCCTCTCCCCTCAGGCCTTTGGACTACATTCCTACTGGATCTTCCTCCCCCCCACCCCCCCACCTCACCGCCAAGAGTTGCTGCCCAACTGAGAGAACCCTTTACACTTTTTCAAGTAACACTGGCTGGCCTGTAGCAGAACAGGCCAGGCGCCAGTGGGGCTGGGGGTTGCTGCTCCCTCTGACACCCTACAGAATCTGAAGACTATCAGAGCTATGTCCTGGGGCACACAAAACCCAGCTCCAGAGGCAGATGATCTCCATCGCAGAGGAAGACCCCTAGGAGCTCAATGTCTTCCCCTTGCAGCAGCCCAGTCTTAGAGGGTCATCCCACTGCGATGTCCACCACAGTCGCCAGGTGTGCTGCCCCTAGTGGTCCACCAGAGGCACAAGCAAGCAAAAGTACAAGACAGGCAACCAACATCAAGAGAGGGGTACAACCTTAACCAATCATGACCACAGAAAATCCAGTCTGAGACTCCTGAACTCCACCTTCTTAGTTGCAAGATAAAGAAAGCACGTAGGTTGCCTAGCAGCATGGGGTGAATGTTGCAGGCTACCTTTCCCTACACCATACAGCACCTCTTGCTCAGAGGTTCAGAAGACTTTCTCCGTGCTGGCTGGAACTATCCACAGAAGCCCCATCTCTAGGTCTAGGCCAGCTGGCAAAAGGCCTAAGAGTGTGGGGTAAGTGGAAGTGGGCGGGGGGGGGGGGGGTATGTTCTTACCAGGATCAGTGCAGTTCTTGGCCATCTGAGTTCCATTCATTGGTGCCATCAACTTTCTATTTCGCCATGTTTCTGGTGAAACGCGTTTGCTAGCAGAAGCAGTTTTGTGTCCTGGATTGAAAAATCAGTCACAGATACCACTAGGTCAGAATAACCTGTATCCTCAAGGCGACCTTAGTCATGTGGGTCTCGCTTCCACAGCAACAGCTGAGAGACCCTTTGGAGTGATCCGCTGACTAGAAGTTTGATATCGCCTGCGTACATACAATGGCCTGTGCCCTGAATGGTATGTTGTTTCTACTCACACATGAGATCTGATCTTGACCAAGACTGAGGGGGGGGTCCCAGGCCTTCACAAGTGAAGGAAAGGAGCAATTAGGTAGCCATTAAGTTCTCTTTCAATAAATGCACTCACATGGTCTCTGCGCCTGGTGGAACCACAAATGGAGCCTGCAGAAGTTAGCAAGCAGGTGAAGGCAGTGACCATCCAAGGGCTCCTCACACTTAAATATGAACACACATCACCTGATGGTCTTGTTTTTTTTTTTTTAATGCAAATTCTGATCCTGTCTGGGTGGGATTTGGGGTCTACACTAACAAACTCCCAGGTGATGCACCTGCTGAGGGGCTGGGGATCAAACTGAGTACAGGAAAAGGGGGTAGATGCCCACGGCCAAGGGCAATTAGACTCCTGAAGGTAATCCAGCAAATGAAACCAACTCTCACTTTCAGACCTTTAAAGGATTCATTTATGGCTCATCACAATGCATGCGCATTGTGTGTGTGTGTGTGTGTGTGTGTGTGTGTGTGTGTGTGTGTGTGTGTGTGCGCGTGCGTGTGTTGGGGGGTGGGTTATAACCTCTTCTCCTGAGATCTTCTAGGCATTTTGTTATTTCTGGTGTGTAACTGGCATTACCCGGCGGATGCACCCACGGACAATACCCTATCACGAAGTGTCAGGTATGGAGATGTCCAAAAGACACTTTCTGGGTTTCTTTTGAAAGAAGCCACTTTTTTGTTGTTGTTTGTTTTTGTTGTTGTTGCTGTCAGTCATGGGGCTTGAACTCTGGGCCTGGGTGCTGTCCCTGTGCTCTTCCGAGCACTCTACCACTTGCACCACAGAGCCACTTCCAAGAAGTCACTTTTTAAAACCCTGGATCCCCACATCACAAAAGTCCGGGGTTTTGAAGAGCAGTGTTACTTTGGAAGTTTAATGGCGGCCCATCTGATTTTTGCATAAACCTCTGTCAATGGCCCTAGATGCTAATGGCCTACCTGACTGCCCTAGAGTGTGTCACCTGCCTGGCACCTTTTCTTTTGTTTGTCTGGAGGTTTGCTAGAGGGTGTCAAGATAGTAGAGGTCCTCTGATTAAAGTTACACGGGGACTCAAATTCTACTCCCTTCCCCTGCCCCCCCCCAAAAGTATTTTTGTAAGATTTTTGTCTTTCCTGACTCTTCCTGAAATATGCATACACTAAGGGGTCCCCCCAAGTCATTCCTTGGAGAAGAGTGTGGATGGCGGCTCCACGAACCAGCCCTCTCCTGGGGGGGGGGGGCTTAAGAAGGAGGGGGAAGAGATGCTGGGATGAAACACAGGAGCAATCTCCCGCAGGAACCCGACTGCCTAAAACCTTTTACGATTTGGTGGAAGACAGGTCGGGAAACGCCAGAACCCCTTTAGACCAGGGCAGGACCAAGAGGAGAGCCAAGAGCCGGCGGCAGTTTTCCAGCCCGAGTCCGGGGATTCGAGGGACGCAGCGTACAAGACTGGTCCCTGTGCAGAATAGGGAAACGGCTCACGCGAGCTTGCACACCCCGGGGGGACAGAGGCGGGGCCGGCTTCCGTCTTGGTAACGCACACGCCGACCGGAGCCGCGACCCGAGTCCCCGGGGCGCGCGAGGCGTGTAGCGGAGCCCGCCCGGATGCGCGCCGCCGGCCCGGCACGGAGGGAACAAGAGGAAACCCTGGGGATCCGCCTGGCGAGGAAGGAACGGGGATCGTGGGGGCGTCCCGGGGCTTCCCAGCCCAAGCCCCCCATCTCAACTCCCCGGGAGGATGGGGGACCCCCACGGGCGCCTACCCAAGCTGCCGAAGAGGCCGGACGCACAGCACACCAGGGCCAGCACGGCGCACACGAAGCCAACTTGCTGCGGCAGCATCTGTCGCCTCCTGCGAACTTTGCGCGGCCGGAGGGTCCCCTGGAGCGCCATCTCGGGGCGCCCGGGTACCGGTCCCTGGGAGAAGATCGAGAGCTTCGGTGGCCCACCCCGAGGGCTGTCAGTCTGTGGCCCACTGTCGTCGCTGGAGCTGAAGCGGACGATGCGCAGCTCAGAAGCGGAGAGCCGGCGGCCAAAGCTTCATGGCCCCCGGCAGCGGGGTTGGCCGGGGGGCGGGGGAAGAGGACCCCGGGCGACCCCGAGGAGGGGGCGCGAGGAGGAGGAGGGGGCGCACGGCGCGCTCCGAGCTCAGAGTCCCGCGCGGGGCGTGCGCGCTGCGCGCACCATGACTCCGTGGCGAGGAGGCGACGCCGGCACGGCGGTGGCGGTGGCGGTGGCGCTGGCGGCCCGGGCTTGGCGCAATCCCCGCGCGCGCGTCTGGAGCCGCCGCTCCCTGCCCGCTCGGCCTCGGCGATCTGGCCCGGCTGAGCACCGCCCCCCCCAGCGCCCCGGAGGGGGGGAGCACTCAGGGCGCCCCGGCGCCCACTCGCGCCATCCTCCTCTTCCAAGTTGAGCAAGCGGCCGGCGAGGCGCCTCTGCTCCCCGCGCGCGCGCAGCCGGCGGTGCAGGCGGGGAAGGCAAGGGCGCCGGACACGCGCGACCCGCGACCCCCTCGCCCGGTGGCCGCGACGTCCGTTCTCCCGGTGGAGGAGAGATCTCGCCGGGGAACTTTCTCTCCGGCTCCTGTGCTGCCGGCGCCTGCGTCTGCGAGGCCCCGTGGCGCCTCTCTCGCTAGCTGCTCTCCCCTCCCCTCCCCTCCCTCCCTCCCTCCCCGCCCGCCTCCCACCCTCCCTCGGCAGCACGTGTACTCCTCCCCGAGGGCGCACTCGCCTGGGGTGCTCCTCCCAGCCCCCACCCCGAAGGCCAACTACTGACCAATATAATCCCCTTCCTTCTCCCTCCGCTCTCCTGCAGCCAACCTGAAACGCGTCCTTTCATTGATCTGTCCTCGCAGGCTGATGCTTACAGGAACTGGTTAGGGTACCTGGGGGGTGGGGGAGACACTCAACAGAAACAGGGGGTCTTTCTGCCCAGTTGCTGGCTCGGATCCAGCCTCCTCCACGACCCCTGGGGCGACCCGCAGCGGCCAGCCACCCCCTGGGGCGGGAGGTACACAAGATTAATTGCCCGTGTGGAGCTAACAAAACAGGCTTGTACCAAGCCAACGGGGCGCTCAGGGACCGGCTCCGGTGGTTCCAGGCGGGCTCCCCGGGATGGCGAGGGATTTGGGTGACAGGGGGGCGGCACCGACCAGCCAAACGCTGAAATCCGAGCGAGTCCTGCCGCTCTTGCCCGCTCGCTCTCTCGCTCCCCAGGCTGAGAGTTGAGCTCGGGAGTCTCCCGTTTCAAACGCAGGGCGTTCTGTTTTTGTTGTTGTTGTTGTTTCCTCTCCGTGTTTCAGATTGGCTCTGTAGTGTAAACTGCTTGAAACATGGGGCGGGAGGGACCCACGCAGAAAGTCAGGGGAGGCGACAAGCAGGTGCCACAGGTAAAGGGAATTCTCTAGGGCTGACCTCCGTCCCTAGCCAATTTATCACATGCCCCTCCAGAACCTACTTAGGGTTAAGTCCACTTTAAAATCCGCCCCCCCCCTTATTTTTGGAACAAGGCCAACTCTATTTAATTAAATAAATACATACCCACCATGTGTGGGCCCCGTGCCAAGTGCCAGCTAAGGAACAAAACAAGAAAAATGTGTAAGGACCCAGTCTCTGCTTTCAAGGAACCCTAAATCAAACGGGAACCAAAGCATCGGATAAACGCTTGTTGGGTGGGGTTCTGAAAGTCACTGTTGGAAGAAAGCATTGCACCTCACAGTCCCCCCCCCCCACACTGTGTGGGCCACAGCAGCAGGACAGGGCATTGTCTGGGAGCTGGGAAGACATGCAGACAGTGCAGTTCCACCCCAGACCTGTCTAGCCAGAAAGTGCATTTGAAACAAAATCCCCTGGAGATCTGTGTGTAGAATCAAGTGTCAGAGTGTGGTGTGGTGGTGTGTGTGTGTGTGTGTGTGTGTGTGTGTGTGTGTGTGTGTATGTGTGTGGTGTCCCAGTGCCTCTAGCTGGCCACCAGTCCCTTGGACTGTGCAAGCAGGAATCTCTTTTGCTTGTATTAAGCTCAGCACAGGGACACAGATAAGAGGTGTGAGAGGACAGAGAGGGACAAAAATCTCACTGCCTATTTTCAGCAGCTTTGTCTCAACTACCAACAAAGATACTGAGGACATATGAACACCAACCCTAATTGCAATGGAAAGCGCACCTCCCTCCCCACCCCCACCAGCATGAAGTGGAAAAGCCAGAGTTGGCCTTGTGTAGTGCAGAACATTCCAGAGTTGTGCTTCTCTTTTGGGGGTGTTTTGCTTTGCTTTGGTGTTGATAATGGGGCTTGAACTCAGCACCTGGGTGCTGTCCTTTAGCTTTTTCCCCTCAAGGATAATGCTCTACCATTGAACCACAGCTCAACTTCTGGTTTGTGTGTGTGTTTGTGTGTGTGTGTGTGTGTGTGTGTGTGTGTGGTGTGTATGCACTCACATGTGTCTATGTGTATCTGGAGATACAAGACTCACAGTTTTTCCTGACCAAGCTAGCTTCAAACCTTGATCTCAGCCTCCTGAGTAACTAGGATTACGGGTATAAGCCACTTGCATGGCCCAAGTTCTGTTTTTGTCTAGATACCTCCACATTTGCTTACTCTACAGTTTGGTGACCTTTTTCTAAACATGAATTCTCAAAAGGTACTTTTTTGTGTATTCACAGGATTTTGTGTATTTCCTTACTGACTAGACTATACAAGGATGCCTTCATTACAAATAGAAAGTTAAAACATAGAATAATGTTAACTATTAACAAAAATGTGGTAAGTACCTGGGTAAGGACCATTGACATTACATTTAAGGCAGAAGAAAAAGTTAAAATGATAATACACTATAGTCCAGTTCATAAGACACCATTTGGGTCACTTTAGTTAAAGTGGTGGCAGTGAAGAAAGGAGGATCTTGTTTCTAGGATTTAATTTTTTCTTAAAGCATCTACATATGGAGCTTACCCACAGCCAGAGAAAAATAGAAATTTCTGGATCCAAGAAGGGTCAAAGGAGTCATTAAGTGTCTGCTGTGAAACACTGAATGGCTCTTTAATAGAACTTTTCTTTTCTTTGACATTTCTCACCTGCTTTCAGCTCATAGTTAGAACCCCTGGAATAATTTCTATGCACAAATGGATTCCTTTTATTTGACAGTTTAGAAAAGCAATTTGTTTGAAATTGTACTTTTTTGCTTCATTTAAATAGTGCCCATTACCAAATAGCCTGAGTTCCAGCTCTAATGACTCACCCTGCAGAAGAGAGATTCAAAGCATCCAGAAGCATTTTCTAAATCAGCAGAGCCACAGGCATAAATGCAAGGTACATTCATTCCTAGGTTTATCTAGGACCCTTGGCTTTGAGGCCATTGGATTCTGAATGTCTTTCACCAACAATATGTCTTCTGATTTGACACCATAGCATCCTGTCTACCCTCGCTGGTTTTAGCCATTTTGGTAGGCTGGCTCAGCCCATGGGTGATGGGCACAATGAAATTTTTTTCCTTAAAAATCCTTCCCTATGACAAAATGAGTCTTACTTTTTAATTAGGATCTTAGTAGATTTGTAAAGTTTGCTGGAATGGCCTTCCCTGTAACTGCTAATTCCACCCATTCCAGAAGATTTGTATCAATCTGCACCGGGTAGGCAGTGTTTCCCAAACCTGAGCATGCATTAGTATCTCCTGCAAGATTCGTTAAAACTGCTGAGCTGCACTCTAGAGTTTCTGCTTCAGGAAGCCCTTGGGGGGAGTGGGGGAGCTGTAGTATTTGCATTTCTAACATATTCCCTAGTGAACCACTGGGTCAGGTTATGCTATGAGAACTAGAAAAATACTAAAACAAACTGCAGTTGTTTCTGGCAGCTGGTGCTTCTGTCCCATCAAGAAGAGTACATCTCGGGGCACCAGTGGCTCACACCTGTAATCCTAGCTACTCAGGAGGCTGAGATCTGAGGATTGCAATTTGAAGGCAGCCTAGGCAGGAAAGTCAGTGAGACTCTTATCCCAATGCCCCAGAGTGCATTTCCATTGTGGTATTTCCCATCTCATACACCTGTCCCTTCCTGGCGAATGAGTGCCTGGAGGAGTTGCTGTCTTATCCATAGGGTAAGATGCCCAACCTATCAGGTGCCTAGCCAATAAAGCATTTGTGGAATCAATGAGTAAACACATTCTTGACAATTTGGGGAGAAGATAAAGAACCGGTGACAGGGTAACACTCTCACCATTGATTGTTTCAGCACCCTGCCAGGTTTCCCATGCATCATCAAGGTCAACCAAGGTCACCACCGGCCCACTGATTCACTTCCTCAGAATTGAATGCCCCTCATGCAACCCCTCTCCCATCAGCCTCAGCCTTGGCTTTCTTAGCAATGCAGTCTTTCAGCCAAGCTAGTTCTGACCTTGTAGGTCTCCTCCCCACCCTCCCCCCCACCGGAGCTTATTTCTTCTCACTTGTTACCTCTCTTTGCTGCTGGCTTGCAAATCTGAATCTTTAGGCGAAATCTCAGTAATTCTGGCCAGCATCTTCCAGGCATTGACTCTGTCACTTCGCATGCAGGCCACCACCATCCACGCCTCAGCTCTGTTCACTTCTTGTCACCTACCTTGAGACTACCCATCTCTTTCGGACTGGACCATAACGGCAGCCTTCTCAGTCAGTTCTAACCCCAATCCAGCTACCACATCTCCTCCTCCACTCAGTAGCTGGAGTTATTTTCTAGAGAAAGAAAAATCTGGTTCTGTCTCTCCCTTCTGTAAAATCCAGAAGCTCCCTATGGTTCCTGGAATAAGTCTCCCATTCCGGGCCTTGTACTTATCGGGCAGGTGCCCTTCCACTGAGCTAAATCCCCAACCCGTCAGTTCTTTTTCATGCTTGTCAAGGCATGATCTAA